CGATTTGTCGGTGCAATAATCATAGATCATATGGTTCATTCGAACCCAACGATATTGCCTTGCTTGTACTGGGCTGAGTTGCTGATAAGCAGGTCCTTCCCACCAATTACTTGGGTTCGAGGCACAATTTGCTGGTCCTGGCATTGCACATCCTTCTATGTCAAAATCCTTGTAATATGCGTAAAATGGGGATTTGCTCCAATTTATTTTCTCTAAGCCACCCCTTGTAGCCCAGTCGTCAGCTTCCCACAATGTTGAGTAAACACCCATGGGTTGGAATTTGGGGAATGGGATTCCTTTTGCTTCGTTGTTCTTGTACACTCTAATGGGTATTCCGTCCACGGAGAACCTTCAAGTTTACAAACAATTAAGTACGTACTACTACAAAAATATTTAGTCAATATACTTGGTTAATTACATGTAAGTTTCTAGGATATATAGACATTAATCAATTGTCCGTACGTACGTAGTGAAAACACTAACTTACATGTTATATACTCTAACAAGTTAATTAAATTGTACGTATCCCTTCGTTTTATTTTCTAAAAATTGTGGTCACAAAAATATTCTTTCAATCTCGTAAACTTAAACATGTGTATGGCGACCTATATTATATATGTACTTACACGGCTTGATGGTGGTTCCAAAAAATGGTGTAGGTGTGAAAATCAGCGGATGGATCAAACCAAAGGTTAACCCTTTGTTCCTTGTCACCTTTTCCATGGACATAAACATTCGTCTGAACAGTGTACGGCTGCCCTGTCCTGTTTCCCAAGAATTCGAAGTCAAGTTCGTCTCTTACGGTATCTGTGTCCGAGTTCATCTGCAAAAGAAAGGCATGGTCTAGAAATATCAAATTAATGAATAATAACTAACTACTCTCGTCCGATTTAATTTATATATATACACTTACGTAAAAGGCAGTAACGGTTCCTGCAGAGTCACCAGGAACGAGCTTGATCTTCATGCTAACACGTCCAAACAGGTATTTGCTTCTCGAAGCAAATCCACATCCTAAATGCAAAGTACCAATCATGAATCATTACACAAATAGAGGCGGATGGAGCCTTTTGACTACGGGTTCATGATATGAACCTATAATAATTTTCATATTAAAAATTACTCCTAAATGAATTCAGTGCTAAAAATATTTAAAAAAAAAATTGTGCCTGAATTTTGGTCTAGAATAAGTTGAATTCCCCTGCCGCCATCGAGTTGTTTGATGTGAGAGTCAGACCATGCGATTTTAAAATCCTGTAAAAAAGTGGCGGGTCGTGCACTTACTAGTGAGAATGAAAAGGTCAAGGCATATAGCACTATTAGAACAAAAGCTGAATATTTTAAGGAAGGGGAAGTCAATGTGGTCATTGTTTTTTCTAAATATACAATTGGATGTTGTGGTGATAGTGTGGAAGTTTGTGAGGTTTATATATGAGTAAATATACAAGAAAACGACGATAGGAAATTCGATATTTTTTCTTTCTTTCATATTACAGCTAATAGCAAGCCGTCAGTGGACCCTCTCTCTATGCCAAACCCTACTATTGATGGATGAACAATTAATCCAGAATAATTCTCTCACTTCTTCTGGTCATAACTCATAGGGCTTCACCATATTTTTCCTTTCATGTTTATTGTAATTTGTAGCTACTAAGCCAGATGTCATATCTAATCTACGGTCTTCTAATTACTTTTTATAAATGACTTTTGACTTCTTCAACCCCTAATTGGGATCGATTTCATTATTTGCAAAAACAACACCAAAGAATGTTATTTGCTTATATTAATTAAAAAAATCAACCTTTTTTAAATAGGAGGAAATTTATATTCAAGCATAATTTAAACTTTCAAATATTTCCATTCTTTTAGTAGTATTCTTTATTTTCCAACAACGTGTTGATAGTAATCTTCATCGATCAAAGACAATCTCTCTTTGAATGGTGTCTCTATCACTTTTATTAAGAGTAGAGTCTTTTGTCATCAAATAACAACTTCTATTATTACAACATTAGGATTTAGGTGCCACAAAGAACATCTAGCTAGGTGTACTCTATGTATGGATGCCAAATTGTGCATTATTACTCATTTTGAAAACTTGTAAAAAGGTGTGTTTGATATGATAGTGATTAAAAAATGGTGAAGCGCCCAAGTCATTCTTGTGAAGTGAGAATTGCCCAATATTATTTATATGGAGGAGATCTAGTTTTTCATCTCACAATCGATGTAGGATTCAACACCTTCACATATTCAAAATTGGGCATTTAAAACGTAAACAAAATAAGCAATAATTTGAAAAGGAGAAGACTCAAATATCAATTGTTAGGCTAAAACAATCAAACGATATTCTTAATATGATATGAATATGATATTTTTTAACTTGAATCGAGCTTGGACGATTTTTACCTAAAAACACTCGCACCGTCAAGATGGTCATCGGTGGAATTGTTGGGTTTATTGTTTGGTTGCTGCTTTTTTTATTTAGCAGGTGGTGTAGCTCATATGATTTTTCTCAAAAAAAAAAAGAAGTATCGCCCAATTAATTAAATGTATACTATTGAATTATATAAATTATTTTTATATAAAAATTGTAAAAATGATATCTTCACTTAAGAATGAAAATCAATTTCCTGTTCACACGTTTTATTTTTTAATTCATTGTTGCTTCAATCAGGACTCAAAATTTGGGTAGCTTTCTATACTTTTAAATATCACCAAATCATTATCTTGATGAATTATTGCTCACTTTGTACAATTACCAAACATCATCTTATTTGATACTCAAGCAAACATTGAAAAATGATAACTAAAAATGATGATTTCCAAAAGTAAGACACTCTCGTGACAAGCATTTTACATTGTACCAAACATACAAGGGTATGTTTGTGTTTATGTGTGGCGCCACAGAAAAATGGGTGATGCCCAGTGGAGGAGCCATATGTTTTGATTGAATCTCCTTGTAATGAAGTTATATCGTGGAATGATAATTGAATCGAAATAATTATCACAAAAAAAGGAATCAAACTTTTTTCATATATATAATTTTGAATTTTGAGTAGTCTACCATATTGATAATGTTAATCTAAAATTTATTTTAAGTCACAAGTCTTTGGGAAGGGTGATATTTTTGCATTTCAACTCTATCCAAACAATTATAAAGGAAAATCTTACTAATAGTTTTAGTTAGTTGACTATCTGAACTTCCACCTTAGTGATGAGGGTTTGTTTTCTCATAGTAATTTCCTCTCGTATTTTCCTTTCCGACCGCTAATTTTTTTTAAAAAAAAATACAAAATAAAATTTATTTTTATGATATTAAAAATGTAGTTAAATTTTAAGAACGGTCTTTATTACGTAATTTTTTCGAGTAAAAAACCATGAGTCATTTTTGCAGAGTAATTAGTGCGGTCCCAATCTATCCACAGTTGCCGCCATTGGGTGTCCACGAAACTTGACGGCAGATCGGTAAAAATTGGCCCGCATTAAGGCGCTTATCTGGCTTTTACTTGGGATTGCATTTGTGTTGTAGGCCACATATGAATTTACTACACACAAATAAGCAAATTGACACAGTTATAGGATTATTTTAGTACTATTCTTAATTCATCTTCATTAATTGATGACTGGAATTTATCAAATTGGAGAGTATAACACAACAGGATCGCTATTCAAATTGAACTGTAGAGCTGGAAAAATCTAATGGAATTATTTTTCAATAACCAAACACCGAGTTCCACGTGGCATTATTGTATTAGATATCAAAAACCGACCATGTTTTTGTTAAAATTTTGTGCCCTAACAACGGTACCATTTCTTAATCACTGTTACAATCGCAAATGACAACTGAAGGTACTGAAATTGGAAACTTATATCCTATTTTTGGATGTGAAATAAATTTTCAGGACATTTACTTTATGTGTAACTTATAGAGCTAATTAATCTTTTTTTTTCTACAACATTATTTATCTTTATAACTTTTTGGCCATTGGTAAATTTACATCCATTAAATAGACAAGTCACGAATAACAATCCCTCTCACTTATTTTTTCTTGCTTGTAGGGCTGACCTGAACTTAAAAGAAATCTCTAGAGATTAAGTTTTGTCTGTAGGCTTTTAGACAGGTTTTAATGTTCACTTACCCTACTACTGCTTATTAGTAAGGATTTCTTTCCCTATCTAACAAAGTTATTTCTTTAAGGTCAAGTTTAAACTATGAATCCGTCTTTATATCTATGAAAACTATCATGATATAAATTGTTATTCGATCTTTTCCTACCACATAGGCCAAAAATAAGTAGGTATCAATTTAGAAAACTAAGAAATTAAAGATGATATAGCACACGATGGGAATTGAAAGCTAAGTACGTATGAAGTGTCAAAATAAATGGTATTATTGGTAAAATAATAGGTACCTTGTCAACATCGTTTAACGTGTAATATGTAATGGACTCATTTACTCTAATATTAAAAAATATCTCTAATAGTGTATGATATTGAGTAGGCTCACTTCATTGAAGGTCTACTAGATCTTCTGCAGTTGTGTCTGCCTTCTGGGCCTTGCAATTTGCAGCCCCTCCATTATTGCCATTAAATTTTAACCCAAATTTCTACAACTAAACGTCCCTGTGGCTACAATGACTCCAAATTTTGACAGAGACACATTTCAAACTCTTAACACAATAAATTCGAATTAATCATTGTGATTTAATAAGCATTGGTATACAATTGGATCTGTCCACGAGATTCCTCATAATTAGTACTTAGCAGTTAATAACATCTCTACTTTTAGGCTTCAAAATCTTATGATTGAAAATATGAAATGATCCAAGACAAACTCTAATATTTGTGGACAATGAGTGGGCCGATGGGCCGTAAAGCCTTTTCTTCTTTATGTACTAGCTCCATCCCTTTTAGGTACACTAGATGGGCATGGCCCGTGCCAGCACGGGCCCAACACGTATATTTGTGTTTTGACCTTTTTTTAATTTCCAATGCAGAAAAAATGACTTTTGAACACCTGTATCAAAAACATTTTAATTGTCATTACATAATACATAACATATAAAAATTGAATATTGTAATCACTGTAGTTCTAGTTAAATAAAGAGGAACTCAAAAACTAAATAAATATTCTATAGTTGATGCAAAGAAAAATCCATCCATTCAAAATTCCTCCCTGCATTGTTGTCACAAGCTAAGATTTTGACAAAGAACCTGAAGCACAATAGGCAAACCTTAATTGTTAACGGTATAAACTTATCATCTTCCTTAATATTTTGTTCACATTACTCAAATCAAATACTACTATGAAGAAGACTCGGCAAATGTCTCATTAAATAAATAGTGCAAATGCATTTCACAGAAATCACACTCACAGATCCATTTGTGTAAATACCTTTGGTAACTTGCTTGTGGAATTATTCGAATTGAAAATGTCATAACAACCAAAAAGCAGAGAACATAATTTATACTTGATTCTCTTCTGTAGAAACTTCACCAATCATTATTCATAATAAAAGGAACTTTAATTGCAAAAAAATTAGAAAATATCAAGTACACTGAAAAGTAACTTTGAGTTGTAGAAGGAAAGGAGAAACTACTTCTTCCCTTAATATATTATAACTTAGGTATTTTAAGAAGTCATAAAACCCATGAATATCTTGCAAGGAATCTTTCTACTAACTGAAAATTAGGAGTTGATTCCTCCTTTATACTGTCTTACATTTTGATCGCACTAAAATTAATATCCTCATTTTGTCATATTTAATTAGTAAATGCTTTCGTATCATCAGTATGTCACTTTACCTACAATCTTTGTTTCGGCAATACAACATCTACAATGAATTTCATTGTTAGTTCTTCTCATTTATCATGAGATAAAATATAGTCAGTTGTCTCACTTTGTCCTTTCTGTCAATAATATTAGTACTTGAAGAGACTTATCAGATCGAACAATTTACAACTGTTGGAACTTAGGGAACATTTTTAAGACATGAAATAGCCTAGAAGACTCAAAAAATAACACTACTGTAGGAGTTAATGTTCACTGATTTTATGTTCTAGAAAATTCTTTAACATCTAATGAGTTTTCATTAAATATAGAGGCAACTAATATATTATAAAGATATGCGGCAAAACATCATCAAAACTAAATCATTCTTTAGCTACTACATAACACCTTCATATTTATAGAGCATAAAATAAAACCATATAGATGATTCCTTGTGCATGACAGAAACAACTTACCATTAAACTCTTTGTAAAGCTTCTCCTGTTAGTACCCTTTTGCCAAGATCATTTCTCCATATAAATGTCTCATTAAATAAATAGTGCAAATGCATTTCACAGAAATCACACTCACAGATCCATTTGTGTAAATACCTTTGGTAACTTGCTTGTGGAATTATTCGAATTGAAAATGTCATAACAACCAAAAAGCAGAGAACATAATTTATACTTGATTCTCTTCTGTAGAAACTTCACCAATCATTATTCATAATAAAAGGAACTTTAATTGCAAAAAAAATAGAAAATATCAAGTACACTGAAAAGTAACTTTGAGTTGTAGAAGGAAAGGAGAAACTACTTCTTCCCTTAATATATTATAACTTAGGTATTTTAAGAAGTCATAAAACCCATGAATATCTTGCAAGGAATCTTTCTACTAACTGAAAATTAGGAGTTGATTCCTCCTTTATACTGTCTTACATTTTGATCGCACTAAAATTAATATCCTCATTTTGTCATATTTAATTAGTAAATGCTTTCGTATCATCAGTATGTCACTTTACCTACAATCTTTGTTTCGGCAATACAACATCTACAATGAATTTCATTGTTAGTTCTTCTCATTTATCATGAGATAAAATATAGTCAGTTGTCTCACTTTGTCCTTTCTGTCAATAATATTAGTACTTGAAGAGACTTATCAGATCGAACAATTTACAACTGTTGGAACTTAGGGAACATTTTTAAGACATGAAATAGCCTAGAAGACTCAAAAAATAACACTACTGTAGGAGTTAATGTTCACTGATTTTATGTTCTAGAAAATTCTTTAACATCTAATGAGTTTTCATTAAATATAGAGGCAACTAATATATTATAAAGATATGCGGCAAAACATCATCAAAACTAAATCATTCTTTAGCTACTACATAACACCTTCATATTTATAGAGCATAAAATAAAACCATATAGATGATTCCTTGTGCATGACAGAAACAACTTACCATTAAACTCTTTGTAAAGCTTCTCCTGTTAGTACCCTTTTGCCAAGATCATTTCTCCATATTCTTCTTCATTTCTTCTTCTTTTTTTCTCAGACGCTGAATTTATTTAGTGATAGCAAGCACAATATTAACTTTTTTATTGTAAAAATAACTAAATTTAACTTAAGGGAATCAATATGGAAGAACTTAAAAGTAATATAAAATTGAAATTTTTCTGCTCAATTTTCAACAATGCCAAAGAAATTTTAACTTTTTAACAGCTGGACTTCTTCAAACAGCTGATGATGTTAGATATGTAAGCATAAGATAAATGTAAAGAATCATAACCATAATACAAAACCCAAAAAGTATACAGTTACACGATGCTATTATAGTGAGACTCCTATTATGTGCAATCATGTTATGACAACATCATCTTACAAGGAAAAATTTCTATATTTTCCTTGGTCACATGATAAGTCAAATGTATTGGTGAGATAATTAAAGAAACTAAGCTTATGAAATATCTTGTTTTCACCTATAGGCTCTTCCTTATATAATGTTGCTACATCTTCCCCCGCCTACTCCACATCCTCCAAAGGGACCCGAATCTGGAGAATAGACTCAATTACTTAAGAACTTGCCTATAGCCTATCCAACTTTGATAATGATTTCGTTTGCTGCACTCCTATTACATTGTCAAAGTGGTGCATCAACAATGGTTTTCTTTGGGGTAAGCAAGTGGCAAGAGCTACTAATTTGAGAGACATTTAAGCAATTGGAAGATAGCATCTTAAGTTAATGTGCAGGTTTGTTGAAACTAATTGCAGAGCCAAACAACTGTACTCGTAACAGAGAAGTGTGTCTTGTTGTCTAGATATAGAGATTCCTATTACTAAAAACATGAATATAGATATTTGGCTAGTGTTCTTGCGTAGAGTTTTACGTATTTGTAATGAATTTGTATCTCATATATTTTAGTATATTCCTAAAATATGTATTGAAGAGCAAGCATATTTCTGCAGGAAAATATGTTCCAGAATTCAGTAGTTCCATAATGCCAATTTACAACGCAACTTAGTAATATATTTGAATTCTACTAACAGAAAATATAAATCAACTACTGTCAAAATAATGAACTTCATCCAAAGAAAGCTACAATATCATATCAGTATAAACCAGCAGATCTAACTAATGCATATGAAAAACATGAGACCAAAATAAAAGTAGCAACAAAAATATGGTGAGAAAGTAAACAAATGCAAGAAATCGGGATAAGCACGCAGGCAAAACGAAGAATGCTCTCACTAAACCATTAAGATGGTGGCAGTAATTAACACATAATAGTATGTTAGCTTAGAATGCATAAAGGCGAAGCTTTAAAAATGTTAAACCACTGGACATGGCGAACACAATCAATAGATATTTTAAAGTTTTTTTTTTGGGTTCAACAATCAGTAGATATAAATGGTCAGATTGAGAAAAAGAGATCGCCTCAAAAACAGAAATGTGTCACGGGAAAAGAGAAGATCCCTATTGAGGTCCACCTGATCTACAGTACTCTAGAGCATGAAGGTTTAAAGGCAATAAATTCAGAATAGAATTGCTACTCCACCACTAAAGCTCAACCAAAACCGTCTGATGCAAACAATACATGCTAGACATTTATGACCCTCGTCAATTTTCATGTGATACATTATATTATCTAATAATGCAGAGACCAAAATCAAGAAAAATGAGAGACATATTAAAGGTAAGTTTCATACCTTAGAACATGGAGACCGTCTTCTATGTCCGATTGAGCCTTGTTATTCATATGTAACAGAAAGCTAGTCTGTAAACTTTAAAGTAGAATTTCCTATTACAACAGAACACCAACAATTCATTCATATGATCTCACGCGACTTTGTTTATGATAACATCAATGCTAAAAACTAATTTAGCAACTTGCCTACTGATTCGTGTTTGTCCATGCCAATTTTCAGAAAAGGAGACATGTGCATTTTAAGGTTAACCATCATGTCATCAACTTAAGGTAGTTTGTTGTTTGTTTAATCTCCATTAGCCTCCAACAGAGTTAGATAAAAGTATGGGTGTTGAAGAAAAATTAGAAGACTAATTGTTGTGGTAGCAGAATGTAACTCATGTAGACCGCAAAATTGTGAACTCACCCTATAAGGAATTTAGTGTTGCAATCTCTACTCAAATCAGAAATTCATAGTCGGTAAATAAAAAAGGGGAGAACCTATATTTTCTTGGTTTGATTTGGAAAAATTGAGGTCGGTATACCTGATGTATAACGATATAAAAATTTGATAGATTGTTTGAATTTCAAGCTTCTGCTCCATTCCGGCATCTCATGCTTGCAATTCTCCCCTATCTCCTTGAAGTAATAGACCTGAATAGGAGAAATTATTATATTAAATACAAATTTGTAAATAGGCAAGTCGGAGAGGAGAAGGAGAAAAACGGCCAGTGCTACAAATTACAATGAACTCTAAAATGTAGTGCATGGAACGGTATAACAACCCTAAATACCCAAGAAATCAACAAAATTGAAAGAAAATTCAAACCAATCCAATGAAAAATTGACCTAAAGGCAAAATAAAAATAACATAAAATTAGATTAATCGATATCTGCTAGGTTCTACACTGGCAGGAAAAGGTATAATACCAGTGGGAAAGGGATTTAAAACTGAAGGGACGGTAGAAATCATTCCCAGAAGAAGAACAATAAGCTCACTTTACACAAGTTTTTTGTTAAATGTTCCAATGAAAAAGACAACACAATTAGTAGCACACGTGTTTCTTGAGAAATAAAGAGCAATACACGTGTTAATAGAGTAGGTCATATATCTATGACAGATGGGCCCATTATAATGTACTATTTACATTAGGAATTATCCCAAAGTTAATATTAGAATTACCTATTTGCCCTTGTTCATCCTTCCCTACTCCCACTTCTAAATAAGCTAGAAAGGCATGGCCCGTGCTTAGCACGGGCCCAACATAGTAAGCCTGTGGTAAACAAAGTATTGTTCGAACTTATTTCAACCATAAAAGCCACAATTTTCAATGAAGCAACTTATTTAAGTTATGAATGATTTGGTTGAAGGGGTGATCTAGTAAGTTATAAACAAAAGAAATTCAAATGAAAAGAAGTATTCTAGCAATTGCAATCTGTCCTGGAAACATCAGCTCTTCAACTCCTTCCTTGCACATATCTCCTTTTGAATGCCTGGACATTACTGTTTGTCGTTCCCGTAAATTATTGAAAAGGAACATATCAAAAATAGTTAGGCCAAGCTCCTATTAAGATATCAACTTCACTATTTACACAAATTGCATATTTATATCAAGATGACAAAATCAAAAGATTTTAGATACAAATTAAGCAGTTCTCTTATGTTTAAAGGTTGAAGTTAAAATGTAAGTAGGCAAATTTAGATAAGTCGGGTATCATACATGTTGTTAGAGAAAATAGATTAGCAATGTCAAATTAGTAATAATGGGAAAGTTACAATATTGGGACGATCAATATGCCATACGGAACACGTAATGGAAAGAACATGCTTACTTGTTAGAGAAATGGTCAGAGGATGGTATACTTTTTCCTTTGTTTAAATTGTCTTGGGGTTG